GGAGGGTCGGAGAAAAAGAGGAAGACCCCCAACGAGATGGATCAGCCAGGTGGCATCATTGATGGACTCAGGTGTGGCAGCGGTAGTGAGGTTGGCCCAAGATCGAACATTGTTTCGTTCTGCTGTGCATGGGGTCACTATGAGTCGGTTCCGACTCGATGGCACCTGACAACATCAACCCAGTACACCAAAGAAACAAGTTTGGTACTTGATATGCTATTTCTAGAATTGCACTTCTTTGCTATGAATTCCTTATGCTTTAATACCTCTACTTTTAGCTAGATGTTACACACAACATCAATTGATAGAAAGGACCCTTCTCTTTTCTGTTCCTGGCCCTACTTTTGACTCCAAATTGCATCACAGCTATATTTATTGTCTCTGCTGTTATTCTTCTCTAATTTTGGATTTTATCTCTAATCTATAACCCAAATCTATCACTAATGTATCTTGTTTATCAGTACAATTTTTAAATTTATTATTTTACTTTTTATAATTTGTGTTAGGAAAAGTAACCTTCTGTACCAACTCTGCCTGATCTCTCTATGCCACGTCCAACAAGTGGCTATACTCCGCAACCCGCATGGAGAGATTAAACCCAAGCAGGGACGATGGGAGATTTGAAAAAAGAAAGACACAAAACACAAAATGAGAATAAGACTAGTTGGGACCAAGTGGGACACAGCACTCTGATGGAGATAATGTGACACTGTCCTACGTTCAGCTCCTTTATTATATACACAAATCAAAGGAGAGAGCTGGGGGCAGGGAAAAGATTGCAAAATACTTTTGGTGTATAGTTGTAAGCAGTAAGCTGGACTTTATCAGAAGAATGTAGTTTCTAGGGAAACAGAGCTAGAGCAGCAAGATGTTTTTGCAGACTTGACTGAAGGCCATGGCTGCGTACAAGGAAAGACTTTGCAAATTCCTTGTTCACTGAAGCAGACTTTGCAAGTTCCTCAGGAGGCAGCCTGACTGGGAGCAGCACAATTTTCTGGACCACAACTATTTAGTTGCAATCCTTTAGTTAAACTGCCCCCAAGTCTGAAACCTTCGGTTTAAATCACTCCCAACATCCTAAATTGTTGCTCTTCTCATGTTATTCGTTGTTCATAAACTAGTTTCTCACTCTGGCATCCTACTTCTCCACCTGTGACCCCAAACCTTCTATGTGACCCCTCTTGTCTTATGAAAACTATAAATTTCACTTCTTTTCTGAACCAACACTATTCATTTTCATTTCCTTGCCTTAGAGTGTTTTGCCTTTCTGATATACTGCCTCCTTACCTTCATCCAATGTTTTGTTCTGCTGTGCATAAGGTCACTATGAGTCAATACCGACTCGATGGCACCTAACAACAATAACAACTCTCACCCAAAGTACAACATATGTAAAATTCTAGCATTCTTCCTGGCACATCTCACGTACACATCCTATGGTTTTGTACAGCTTTAATATGCCACTTTAAGGTAGGAATGGTATGTATAGTATTTTCTCTGAGCTCTGATTAGCTTTTAATGGGACCTTTGAGACTAAGATCAGAGTTCAACTTTAAACACATTTAATCAATTTTTTGATGCTTAGGCCAATGTTTCTGATTCACCTACTTTGCTGTGTCTGCATTTCAGTGTCATTGTCTGTCAGTAGCATTTTTAAAAGTATTCAAACAATCCAATAATTGGTGTAGTGTTTTAGCTCTTTTCATGTATTTAATGTACCAATATATCCTCTAATTTATGTTTCTCTTCTTTGAAATTAGGCATATGACATCTGCCATCCAAACCCGGTTTTGATGCTCATGCTTTGTGTCTACATGCATGAGCGGCTTCCAGCCTACCTTCCCAGGAAGGTAGTGCTCTTTCCTTGTACACTGCATGAGACTGTAACCAAACAGGTATGGAGACTTTTGGGACCAATATGCATGTGGAGTTAAGTACTTAGAAGTTTTAGATATTTCTTTCATCACTCTAAATTAAGAGACCCAGGGTGAAATAAACAGCACTCAGCTACCAGGTGAAAGGTTAGCAGTTTGAATCCATCCAGAAGCTCCTCAAAAGAAAGGCCTGGAAACCTACTTCTAAAAGTCATTGTTACTAAGTGCCGTCAAGCCAGTTCTGACTCATAGTGATCCTATATAGGGTTTCCAAGTAGCAGTGGTGGATTTGAACTGCTGGTCTTGTGGTTTGCTGATCCTAAATCACCACATAAAGAGTACATCTATAGCCACTGAAAATCCTGTGGGACACAGTTCTCCTTTGAAGCACATAGGGTCACTGTGAGTCAGAATCCACTTAATAGCAATTGATGTTTTTTTAATTTTATTTGAGCAATCTGATTCTTGTATAGCCACAGTAATGGATTCTTATACACTAATGGTCATGACCACCACTTGTCTGTCAGTTTGTCGCACTGTTGTGGCTTGCATGTTGCTGTCATGCACTGGTATTTTAAATGCAGGCCAAGTCACCCATGGTGGGCAAGTTTCAGCTGAGCTTACAGACTAAGACTCGTAAGAAGGAGAGGCAAACTACTTCTGAAAAACCTTATGAATAGCAGTGAAACACTGTCAGCACCAGAATATTGAATTTTGAAACCTGATGAATAGCACCAGAATACTGTCAGATATAGTGCCAGATGATGAGCCTCACAGGTTGGAAGGTACTAAGAATATGGCGGGGAAGATCTGCCTCCTCAAAGTAGAGTTAACCATTAAGACAAGATGCAAATGGACTAAAATGTTCTGGTCTTCATTTTCTTATGGGATGCAACTCAAAATTAGGAGAAGCAACTAAAACATCCATTTACAGCAGGAACATGGAATGCACTAAGTATGAATCTAGAAAATTGGAAGTTGTCAAAGAAGAAATGGAACACATGAAGTAAAGTAAAGTTAAAGTAAAGTAAAGGCATTACTGAGCTGAAATGGACTGGTAATGGTCATTTTGAATCTGACAATCAGATCGTTTACCATGTCAGGAATGAAAACTTGAAGAGGAATGGCATAGCACTCATCATCAAAAAGAACATTTCAAGATCTATTCTTGAAGTATAATGCTGTCTGTGATAGGATAGTATTCATATGCCGAAAAGAAGAAAAGTTAATACAACTATTATTCAAATGTGTGCAATTGAAGAATACATTATTCAAATGTATGAAATTGAAGAATTCTACCAACTTCTTCAGTCTGAAATTGATCAAGCATGTAATCAAGATGTACTGATCATTACTGATGATTGGAATACAAAGGCTAGAAACAAAGAGGAAGGATCTGTAGTTGGAAAATATAGCCTTGGTGATAGAAATTATAGTGGAGATTGTATGATAGAATTTTGCAAAACCAATGACTATTTCATTGCAAATACCCCTTTTAAACAACATAAAAGTTAATTGTACATGTGGACTTCACCAGATGGAATACACAGAAATAAAACTGATTACATATGTAGAAAGAGACAGTGGAAAAGCTCCGTAGCATCAGCCAAAACAAAACCAGGGACAGGGGACAGACTGTGGAACAGATCATCAATTGTTCATATGCAAGTTCAGACGGAAGCTGAAGAAAATTAAACCAAGTCCACAGAGTCAAACTATGACCTCAAACATATCCCACCTGAATTTGCAGGTCTTTTCAAGAACAGATTTTGATGTATTAGACACTAATGAGTGAACAACAGAAAAGTTGTGGGATGACATCAAGAACATCATACAGGAAGAAAGCAAAAGGCCATTAAGAAGATAAGGAAGAAAGAAAAGACCAAAATGGATGTCAGAAGAAACTCTGAAACTTGCTTTCCTAGTTGAGATGCTTTACTCACTGCACCACCAGGACTCCTTGACCAGGGCCATCTAATTCCCACAAAAAGTTTTTACATACAGAAGTTGTTAACTGTGTAACTGTGCTGTTTGTAATTTTTAGAAAAACTGAGAATTAGATTTCTAAGTCCTTGGCCAAATAACATTTCTATACAAATATGTCTGTGTTTGCAAGTTTTTTCTTTGGTATCTTGTCAGAGTATGTTGACTTCAGTTGATTTTTTCATACCATTTGTTTCTTATTAACACTTGTGAAATCTTTTCTAGCATTCTATTTATACTCTAGTTTTTCTTCAGACAGCATAAACCTTTCACTTTTGTAAGTTGTTTATATTTAGACAAGATTGTTCTCTCTGCTCGTTTTCATAGGCTTCAACTGGATTCCGAGGTTGAAATTTCTAGAATTCTTTCTTCAGGACACTATTAGTTAATATAATCATATCAAAATTGAATTTAGATTTGGGTCAGGTTTATGTTTATTCATTTTCCTCAGGCTATTGTTATATGTCCCTACTCATATATTTTTTTTGGGGGGGATAGTGAGGGTAAGTTCATACTTTCAATGCAAAGCTTGTCCATATTTTGTGTTCAAAAATTATGTTCTGGTGATCTATAGTTGGTAATCATGACGTCTCTGAGAAAGTAACTGTGTAGCTGCTATAACAGTGTGAGTAATGGTGTGTAAGGACTCAGTTGCACATTTGGAAAAGCACAGGTATAAAGAAAGCTCAGTTTAAAAAAGGAAAGCAGCCCCATTATGATTTTTTTGTTGTTAGAAGTTATTGAGGCAATATCCCTTTAAATTAATTTTATGTCGTTCTATTTTTGTTAGCAAGAGATATATGACTCTTTAGAGAAAGTTTTCAGTAGTGCTTACTAGAGTATTTCTCTAACTGCCATGATATTCAAAGATGTACTTGCATTGCAGAGGACATTTGAATCCAACATAAAGTTTCAGAAGGGGTTCGAAGTGTTCTGTTTAAGCCTGCAGACGATAAAAGGAGTGTGAATTAGATTAACCCAAATCCCTCTGCCATTGAATCAATTCATCCCTCTAGGACAGAGTAAAACTGTTCCTTAGGGTTTCCCAGGCTATAAAACTTTACTGTAGCAGACAGCTTCATTGATCTCCCTAGGGGTAACTGGTGAGTTTGAACCACTAATCTTGTGGTTAGCAGCCCAACACTTACCCAACTGTACCAACAGAGCTCCTTTGAATTAGATTAAGCAGTGATTCATTACAGTTGGACTCCTGGAATGGCGCTGTAGGGTCAGTACCAGAGTTCAAACCACAAGGTTGGCAGTTCAAACCCACCAGCTACTCCAATGAGGCGGTCTGCTCCTGTAAAGTTTTACAGCCTCCAATCACTATGAGTCGGAACTGACTCAACAGCACGTAATAACAACAGTTAAAGTAATGTATTGCCAATTTTCTAGAGTCCTGGTGTGACACTGTAGGAGAAGCACTGACTGCTAACTGCAAGGTTGGTGGTTCAAACCCACCAGCTGCTCCAGGGACTCTCTATACAGGGTTCCTATGAGTTGGAACTGACTCGATGGCACTTAACAGCAACAATATTATCAGTTTTCTGATATTGTCTTAGGTGGCACAAACGGTTTGCTAGGAGAAGATTGCCTGGTCAAATTCAGCAAGCATGGCAATGGAAGAAAGGCCGTGTGATCCACTTCCATCAGATTAGAATTTTAAAAATCCAAGCCATCTACTTGATTCCCATTCATAGCAGTGATACAAGACAGAGGAGAATGGCCCCAGAGGGCTTCCAAGGCTATAATCCTTCTACAAGCAGATCTCCACATCTTTCTCACATAGACTTGTTAATGGATTTGAACCAGGGACCCCTAGGAAACCCTGTGGAGCTCAGTTCTACTCTGCACGCATAGGGTTGCCATGAGTCAGAAATGACTAGACAACAACAGAATTTTGGGGTGTCACTGTCCACGTGTCTGCTTTTCTTTACGTGATTTGATTTTTAACATTTTGTAAAAATACATGTTGCTGTTGTTAGGTGACATTGAGTCAGTTCCAACTCACAGTAACCCCATGCATAACAGAACGAAACATTGCCTGGTCCTGTACCATCCTCACAATTGTTGTTACATTTGAGCCCATTGCTGCTGCCTGAATGTCAGTCCTTCCTGAGGATCTTCCTCTTTTTTGCTGACCCTCCCCTTTACTAAGCTTTTATTTTTATTTTTCAACAACGTAAGACAATTTAAAGTAAATAAATAGATAAAAAGTGAATGTAGCATAAAGCATAAATTACAATAACCTTTGATTTTATAATCTATGTAAGAAAATCACTGATTTGGAATTTGCTGAGAATCTTTGGTACAGTTTGCTGCTGAAAATCAACAAAATAAAATGGCAACCTAAATCACAGAATGCTGTTCTTATCAGCCCTTTCAACATCCCAGAACACAGAAAATATCTCAAGTCATCACTATTATAATTTAAAAAGTATTTCTGTAGTTATTTGTCACTAAAAGCTTGGCATCAGCAGAAAACAGGGATCAAATAGTGCAGTGACTATGTGAACTGGTTTCTTTGTTGTCCTTTTGAAGCAACTGAACATTCTTTTAATCCTGTTTGAAACAAAATTTACAGTTGATCACAGATAAACTCAGTGCCTTTGTGTCACATATGTAATGAGGCTCCCTAAGCTCTCAGGGCTGGTTATGGTTACGGGAGTTTCAGGATTATTAACCAATAAGAATTCCTAGTGAGTCTATGATTAACAGCATTTCCTTCCAGAAAATAGAAATTTACTACCTGTGACTTACAATCACCACGTCTCTTGAGGAACACTGAAGTTTTTGCGTAATGCAAATGGTTAACACATTCAGCTGCTAAACAAAAGGTCAGAGGTTTGAGTTCACCTAGAGGCAACTTAGAAGAAAGACCTGGCAATTTAGTTATAAAAAATCAGCTATTGAAAACTGTATCTTGTACAGTTCTGCTCTGACACACATAGAGCCACTATGAGTCAGAATCAGCAGCAGCTTGTTTTGTTTTCTTAATGAACACCAGAGATACAGACATACATGTGGTGGTTGGTGGTTATGTGCCTTGGAGTCGGTTCTGACTCATAGCTGTCATGCATAGGCTTTCTGAGTCATTAAATCTTTATGGGAGTGAAAAGCCTAATTTCTCTCACAGAGTGGCTGGTAGATTCGAACTGCTGACCTTGCAGCTAGCAGCCCAACTCGTAACCCACTATGCTATCAGAGACATGCATACATAAATAAAAAGAAAACCTTCTAGGATGGTCTTGAGGAAACTGAAGGAAGGAACGCGTTAGTAACAACACACTTGTTCTGGTGGTTACCAAAATTCCCACTGAACTATGAAAGTCGCTGATTTAATCGTTCAGGTTATCTCTACCACTGCCCATGATTCATTATAATCACACATGTCGTTGTTGGCTTTAAAGTGCCTTCTAGTTGGCTCTGACTGATAGCAATCCTTTATAGGGTTTTCAAGGAGTGGCTGGCGAGTTTGAACCACTGCCCTTGTGGTTTGTAGTCCAGTGTTTATCCTACAGTGCCACACCAGGAATTCATAATCATACATAGCACTCATTGTTTAGTTATCACATATCCATAATTACAGTTTCTAGACTTTATAAATTCCATGCACATTTTCTTCACTCCAAATCATCCAATTCTCCCTATTCCTCCAGTTCTTTTCCCTCTTCCGGCTCAGCACTTTCCATGATACCCTCGAGTTTTCCTAGTGTGTGCATGTGTATGTCATAGTCTCCATTATATTCTTCATAAACACTGGTATTCTCAAATTTTTCAAGAAATACTCTCCAGTGTTGTCAAAAACTCTAGACAGGAAGTAGCCCATTCGCTCATACTCTCTATATCTCATTTTATGCTCTCTTCCATAGATTCTTCTGAAAAATCCAAGCACTAAACGGCTGGTATATAGAACCTTCATAGTTGGTAGAGATGCTACCGACTTTGCACTCTTTAAAACTGGGAAGGTCGTCACCATTTCTCCTAAGTAAGTAGTTTTTTAAATTTCAATTTTATTTTATTATTTCAACCCTAGACAGTTAATTTGCATTATTCCTATAAAAGAGCAATCGAGGTATTTTTTACTGATAAATATATAATGAAAAGACACAAATACAGATAAAATATTCATGTTTTTCCTGTTGTATTAAGGCAATTCTAAGAGTGTTTCGTTCTGCTGTGCTTAGGGTTGCTATGAGTCAGTACCGACTCCATGGCACCTAACAACAACAACAGTGTAAAACCACTTTTTATGTATGAATTGAATTTTCATTTCTTTGCATGCATGTAGACCGTTGTTACTGTTATTAAGTGCTGTTGAGTCGGTTCTGGCTCATAATGAACCTATATGAGTTTCTGAGGAAAAGTTGATGGGTTTGAACTGCCAGACTTGGTGGTTAGCAGTCCTGCACTACACCAGGAATTCGTGTAGGCCATAGAGTGTAAAAAATGAGTTGTTAATTTATCCTCCGTAGTTCTGTTTCCAGTAGGAAATGTAACTGGTTTGTGCTTCAATTTTATATACACACAAACACACACACACTCATAAGAGGGTAAGTAAAAACATTGTTACAAGGGTTCTAATACATACATGCACAGGCGTATTCCAAACAAAACATGTTTAAGCGTGCCTTTGTAGTCAGTGGATGGCTGCAAACAAATTCCCTCAGTAATACATTTGTCTTAGCTTCATTAGAAGGAGTTCTGGTAGCATAATGGCTGCTAACCACAAGGTCAGTAGTTCAAATTCATCAACTGATCCAACAGAGAAAGATGAGGTGGTCTGCTCCCATAAAGGTTTACAGCCTTGAAAACCCTATACAGGGTCACTATGAGTTAAAACTGACTCCATGGCATGCAGCAGCAGTTTCCTTAGGGTGCTTTCAATAAAAAAAAACAGTCCGATCAAAACAGTGGCATCCAAAGGGATCTCCTGGGCCAGTTACATTCAGGACAGAGAGGTTAATGAAGAAGCTTATAGAGACTGTTTGAGGGAATTTCAAAGGGATCATCTTGATAGATTTTCTCGAAGGATGAAGAATGATCATGGGGGCTTATTATGAAGAGGTTTTAAGAAAATTTAAAAAGGCATTAGTGAGAAAAAGGTCAAGAATGTTGCACTGAGGAAGGTTTTTCCCATCACGAGAATGCACCTTCTACTTCTTCCAGAAGTAAGGGCTGCCCTACGATAAATTCATTGGCCCTGGAGACATTTTTTTGTTTTGTTTTCACAACTCAAAGAACATTTAAAAGAAATTTCAGTCCCTCAAGTATGCCCAAACTGCCATTAGATATGGTGTAAATACTAGAACACAGAATTATTTAGGGAATGATTGGAAAGAAACACCGCCTGCTGAAGTGTATAGTCCTAGATGGAGGAGAGGCCAAGAAACAGTGGCTTTACCTTTTGATATTTTTGTTTAATAGTTTTGTTTCTATGATTTTGTAGCAATATTTTTTTAGTTCCCTTGTGTGTGTATGTATTTATAATATATACCAGACAAGAAAAGATATAAGGATACACTTTGAAATTGTTTTATTTGTTATGTGTGTATAGAACTAGAAGAACATGGATAAAGAAATTCCTGAATGTTCTTGGTGAGACCAGAAAGTGGTTCACCAAAAAGACGGTGCTTAAGTCTCTCTATATATATATCTATATAAATACAAAGCAAATTATTCACTTTTCTATATGCATTTTTTTTCAGACTTGAATACTTTTATTAGGAGATTCCTTAAGGTGTCTCTTTAACTAGACTAAACCATTTTATGTTATTTAGTGTTTACAAATTGGACTTGAACAATATTTTGTCTTTAACACAAAAAATAATCCTGAGTTTTACTGTGATCAGATATTGTATAATTGCCTACTTATGTGAATGACATCCTGCCTTTGACTTTGTCCAGAACAAAATTAATAGAGGCTCTGTCCACCAGCTGTGAATTTAAATTCCTAGAGAGATCTTCTATATATATTATAAAGATTAACAGGGACACCAGCATCTACATAAACATGTTTATATCTGCATCTAACTGGATGCCTAAATTTAGCCATATCCATAAAGTCACTGTCCTAATGTGAAAGTATAGCCTTAGGAAAACATTCTGTTTCCTTTTTTCTTCATTATTCTCTTTGAACCATATGTATACTGACATGGATATGTTCTGTATTTATTCTCTGATATTTTTCTGACATCCAGCTCCAGGTAGCTTACAAAATACATGTAAGATCAAAGGGATTATTTTCATGAGATAGACGCAACTGTGGTGCAATGGTTAAGTGCTCAGTTGCTGACCCAAAGGCCAGCAGTTAAAAACCCCAGTTGCTCTGAGAAAGATGTAGCAGTTTGCTTTCATAAAAATTTACAATTCTACTATGGGACAGTTCTACTCTCTCCTAGAGTGCGATGATGAGTAGGAATTGACTCTACAAGAAAGGTAATGGGTTAGAGGCAACTATGATGGTAGTGGTTATGTGAGGTGGAGTCGGTTTTGACTCATAACGACCCTATATAAGGTTTCTGAGGCTGTAAATCTTTACAGGAGCAGAAAACCTCATCTTTCTCCCATGGAACAGCTGGTAGTTTCGAACTGCTGACCTTGAGGTTAGCAGCCTGACTTGTAACCAGAGCTCCTTTAGCCAAAAGAAAAGAAAAGGTCAGAATATGGAAGTGAAGCCTACAGTTATGATGCACACTCCTGTAGCTCTAGGGTACTCCCTTGAAGTGGAGTACACATTTGATGGGTAACTTTCTAACACCCTCAGGAAGAACACCTGGTTCTTTACATGATTTAATATGATTACAAAGAATTTAATCTCTTATCAAGAGAATACTGAATCTTTCTGGGTTTAAAACCTAACCAGTGCCTTCATAAAAAGTATACCCTGTATCATATAATGTGATTTATAGGCCTTAACTGTAGATCTATAAAAGGCTTTCTGAAGTGTATGTTACTTAGGTTATGTTCATTCTTGAACATCTTTCTTTTTTCATTAACTACCATGGTGATCTAATCCATTGCTAGGTCTATTTTTCTACATGTATCTCAAATTTGGCATCTTTTTCCCTTCTCTATCTTTCTCATCAAAGTTTTACGTACCATCATGTATAAATGGGACTGCTACAAGAGACACGTAACAGACTTCTCTATAATCCATACATATATTGTTGTTATTATTACTAAATGTCATCAAGTCCATTCTGACACATAGCTACTCTGTATAGGGTTTCCAAGGAGTGTCTGGGCTGGTGGATTTGAACAGCCAACATTGTGGTCAGCAGTTCAGTACTTATCCGATAGCACCATGTTGTTGTTGTTAAACTCCATCGAATCACTTCCAAATCTTAGCGACCCTGTATAGGATATCCAACCTCATGGTTAGCAGTCAAGCGCTTATCCACACCAGGATTCCTATAGTGCCATGGTGGTGGTGGTGCTTGTGTGCCATGGAGTTGTGGTTCCAACTCAGAGCAACCCTGTATATGGTTTCTGTGGCTGTAAATCTTTACAGAGGCATAAAGCCTCATCTGTCTCCCATGGAACCACTGGTAGTTTCAAAGTGTGCACCTTGAGGTTAGTAGCCCAACTCGTAACTACTATGCTACCATAGAACCATTATAATTTTTTAAACCCTGGTGGTGCTATAGGATTAGCACTGGACTGCTAACTACAAGAATAGTGGTTGAAGCCCACCAGCCACTCTGTGGAAGAAAGACGTGGCTTTCTGCACCTGTGAAGATTTAAAACCTCAGAAACCCTATACAGAGTCTCTATGAATCGATATCAGCACACAACAACAACAATTTTTTTTAAATGCAAATTTGTTGTTGCTCTTCTTTCTGCTTGAAATCTCCAGATAGCTTCCAATCACCTTTAGGATATGTCAGGGACTGGCATTGACATAGTTGTGTTGTTCACGAGTGTTTGGGTCATGAGGAGGAGATATCTGGCGGCGATAGGGATAGCAAAAGAATACACAGAAAGACAGAAAGAGGGAGACACAGAGACACTCCGAAACCAGGGTGGATGCATCACTGGTGGGCAGACTTGGGACTACAGGCATTGTGACCTCTGCGGGCAGCAACTCACTGCCCTGCAAACTGTACTGCATGCCCTCCAACTTGTAATGCACACCTGGGCCGGCCTGCACCTCTGTTTTATTTAGGGGAGGAGCTTCACACCAAGCTGGGAGGGACTAAGACAGGATACAGCTAACATCAGTAATTTTCCAGACATTCAGGTAACTTTACATCGAGCTTTGCTGGTTCGAATCCCAGGCCCGCAACTTGGTTTCTCAGGCTCAATTAACATATCTATAGCCCCTGAGCTCAGTTCGGGGAAGGTGAAAGGGAAGGACAAAAGGCTTGGGAGGAGTCCCGCTGTTTTGGCTTCCTGAGCCAGGTTTTCAGGAACTTGGCTGAATAACCAGCACCTGGGGCAGATTTAGGGAAGATGGCTTTTTTGTCTACAGAACAAAGAACCGGGAAGTAGCTAAGCTATTTTCAGTTAATCCTTTGGAGAAAGTCTTGCCCTTGAAACCTTTACAGTCTTGCCTTTAGGAAAATATTACATTTATCTGTGGATACTAAGGGCTCATGTTTGGAATTAAATAAAAAACATAACTGAACACTAAGATGAAAGACAATTTGTTATGACTGCCCAGTGGCCAGAATTTGTTCCTCAGAGCCTGTGGCCTGTATAGTCGACATGGTCTGCAACAAGGATACGGAATGAAATCTGCAATACAGTTCCCAGGCCCTTCATGGCTGGTTCACTAACCCACCTGCTTTCTAAGTTTCAGCACCACTGGCCATATTCAAACACACCATATTTACTCATACCAGAGTTGGTAAATGCCTTTCTTTCCTCCACTGCTCAATCGACTAATTCATTCTAATTCTTCATATTTACCTAACATATCATTTCCTCTGACCCTCAGACTGTCACATTCACCTTTTGTATATTCTCATGCATTTCTATAATTTGTAATTTTCACATCTATTTTATGATGATTTAATTGAAGTTCCTCATGTTTTATTGAATATAAGATGTGGGAGGTCAGGAATAGGGTGTTGTTTCTAATTGCTTCATCTCACAAACTTAAAACAGTGCTTTGTTGTTGTTAAGTGCCGTCAAGTCAATTGTGACTCTATATAAGATTTCTGAGGAGCAGCTGGTGAGCTTGAACTGCTGACCTTGTAGTTCAAATGACTTTGCAGTCCGTTGCATTAACCCACAATGCCACACCAGGACATTCTATAAATGTTAATTGAATAAATGAATGGCTTTCTTAATAGTAAATTTTAGACTAGCTAGTGAAATTCTCTAGGTATCGTAGCACAGAGTTTTCATTTTTACACCCCAAAACCCCAACAATACTGTAAGGTCAAATGTCCTTTGTTTACTATTAACTTCAAGATCATTAGTTATTCGTATTGTCCAAGATAATGTCTTTTTGTACAAATTAAAGAGATTGATAGCGACACATATGTGAATAAAAACCATCCCCACCTGCTATATGTGCGCTGCACTTTCCCTTACAAAATCATTTTGAGATAATTTCTATTGATGTTGAGAATCCCTAGTTCACTTTACTTTTTGAGAATCCCTAGTTCCATTCATTCAATAACTATAGAAAAGTTCTGGGAAAGTTAAACAAAGGATTGGCATCAAAGGACTCTCACCGTTTCAATCTCCAAATATATGCATCTTAAGAGAGGATACTAGTTGGTAGTCTGCACAAGAGAAGCACTGTGATATGATATATAATGCTGACGATGGTAAAAACCAGAGTAAAAATGAAGATAGTATTCCCCATAATAAGATAATATTCCCCTTAATATCTAGCACCTACAGGTGTTGTAAGGCAAAGCAAGGCAAGGCAAGGCAAAGTTGAAAGATTCAGCTAGTAAAGCCATTCTAAATTCAGACCACTTATTGCTTATATACATAAGCAATGAAAGCAAGAGTAGTCAAAGATGCTAGATCCCCGTGTCCTATGTGCAGGTCAATTATGACAGAAAAGGAGTTTGATGTGTATGACATGGATTTTAGGAAACCCTGTTTCTGAAGAGCCAATTTAATGCTGCAGCTAAGCACTATTGTAGTTGTAGCCTGTAGCTGTATGTTAAGGTATCCCTGGGTGCCACAAAAGTTCAAGCTCTCCATTACTAGAAGAAAGGTTCAAACACACCTAGAGGTGATTCAGAAGACAGACCTGGTGATCCGCTTCCAAACGTTCACAGCCTTGAAAAACCCTATGGAACAGTTCTAGTTTGCACATATGGGTCACCATGAGTTGGTATCCTCTTGATGGCAACTAGCAACAACAGCTGTACCACAAAGGCATAAAGTAGCAAACGCCATACCTCTTCAGAATCCAGGGGGCAATATGAAACTGTCTTATGATAGTCTTTCAGAGGAGATAATGAGAAATGAGGCAAATGGGAAACAGCCTTTTTAGTTGCTATTCAGGAATTTCCATTCTCTTCTGTTGAGGAAAGATCACTTTCTGCCAAGACTTATATCAACTCCAGTTAAGCCTTGTATATGTGGTCTATGTGGAGTCATGCAAGGTTTTTAGTAAGTAAATTTCCCTAGATTTCATTTTTCTGGAGCTCAGAGAGCGCTGTAGGATAAGCACTGGACTGCTAACCACAAGGTGGGCAGTGCAAACCCTCTAGCTGCTGCACAGGAAAGAAAAATAAGGCTGTCTGGTTCTGTAAAGATTTACAGCCTTAGAAAACTATGCAGGGTCTCTGTGAGTCAGAATCTATGTGATGGCAGTGAGTTTGGTTATTTCAGTTTTGTTTGTTTGTTTGTTTTACCATTATACTATGTTTTACAATACAGAGTTAAAGATTAAGTAAGATGAACATGTTTTAATTATCCCTCTTTTAATTAATAGTTTACTTTGAATTTTAAAATATGCTAATAATCTATTAGTTGGAGTCCTGATGTGGTGCTGTAGGATAAGCACTCGACTGCAACGTCTGTTTGAACTGCAAGGTCTGTGGTTCAAATCCACCAGCCACTCTTCAGGAACCCTATACAGGGTCTCTATGAGTTGGAACTGACTCCACGGAACTTAACAACAACAAGAAGCGTAGGATAAGCACTGAACTGAAAGGTTGGTTTGAACTACAAGGCTGACAGTTCAAACTCACCAGCTCCTCAGAAACTCTATGCAGGATAGCTATGAGTAGGAACTGACTTGACAGCACTTAACAGCAACAACAGTCTGCTGTTGGTGTGGTGCTATAGAATAAGCACTGGACTGCTAACCACAAGGTTAACTGTTCAAACCTACCAGCTATTCCTTGGAAACCCTACACAGAGTCATTATGAGTCAGAATCGGCTTGACAGTGCTTAATGACAACAATCTATAGTATAGGTTGTTGTTATGCTGTTGTTATTAGAGGCTGTCAAGATGGCTCAAACTCATAGAGACCCTATGCACAACAGAAGGAAAGAGACAGGTTGTTGTTAAGTTGTTGAGTTGATTCCGACTCACAGCAACCCTACATAGAATTTCCGAGGAGTGGCTGGTGGGTTGGAACTGCCAATCTTGCTGTAGTTAGCAGTCCAGTGCTTAACCTATAGTGCCATGCCAGGGACTGGTATGTACCACATAATGTCCTTTCAGGCACCATTTAGCTACATATACCAGAGTGCTTCAAAAAGTATGTGGATAAATTGAATTTAAAGATAATGGATTTTTATATGTCTCTTATATATGTCTCTGGAACATATGTCTCTTATATGTCTTATATGTCTCTCGTATATGTCTCTGGAACAAGGGGGAAGGACTTGCTTGGGCAACAGGTAGTCTGATTGAGTTTGCAGTGCTGGGCAGCTATGGTTCAGCTCCCAAATTGTGTCTGTCTTGGTTCCCACAGCTGCCACTAATGCGTGATGCATGCACTGTCTGGCCACCATCTCTATCCATCCCTCAGAACTTCTCATTCTGAGCAGCCTCCCAGAGACTGCTAAGAGAGCACTTACCGAAAGGCAGTCAACTGCAGATCCTGAAACTCCAGACACTAACAGAGAGCCAGAGTAGCCTGTGTGGGGGTTACTTGGATGTGTGTGTAGCAAATGTATATGCTCAGCATCAAAATTATAATGTCCTATCTCATAGAAATTATTGTGGCTGTTAAGTGATGATGCATACCTGTATTTGAATTTGAGCTTTGAATGCTGTTTTTAACAACAGTTTACATATAATCTGAATTCCTATTCTTTTTCTCCATCTGACCAAAAACTGGTGACATGAATAAGAATTTGCCTAAAGGATAACACAGAATGTCATATGAATTTCATATAAAAATACATACATGATTTTCTGTGACTGCTTGACAATCCAATTTTGGCAGATTGAGTATTTCTGCAAGTTACCATTATATTTTAAAGACTAGATCAATATGTCTAAACTAGTAACGATAACTGTATTGCAGGTGTTTTGGGGTCTGCAAAAGTCTCTAATTTTATTTTGTAGAAGTGAATGTATTTATTATATGATGTAAGTAAGCACTGGACATGTGGTCTCCACTTACGAAATGCTTGTTGATTGTATTTTTTAATGAAATATGCTCTATTTTACCTTTTATTAAATAGGAACCAAATTAACATCATGGTGAAATTCACCAGCCGATTTCTATATCCCGCTGAGGCTACGCTGCTGTTAATTTCAAAATCTAAGCATGCAGATGAGGGCACTACTATGACTTTTGCTCTGAAAGGTGAAGTCCTCAAATTTGCTGAGGATGTAAGTAAATTTTATCTTTTGTGTGTATTTGCTGCTCTTCTCAGGACATAAACTATCCCAAACTCAGTCATTGTCCAAATGTTATCTCTAGGTAACTCTCCATATTTGATATCATGTGTTTGTATAGACCAAAACAAATCCCACTGCCATATAGTCAATTATGACTCATAGCAACCCTTCTGGACAAAGTAGAACTTCCCCTAAGGGTTTCTGACGCTGTAAATCTTTATGGGAGTGGACAGCCTCATCTTTTTCACACAGAGCCACTAGCAGCTTGGTGGATTTGAATCACTGAACTTGCAGGTAACCGCCCAGTGCTTAACCCACTGCACTATCATGGCTCTCTGCATAGACACCAGAGGTATATATTTTAATGTACACAGTTCTTGGCTTTTATTCTCCCACAATGTTGCTCCAATATGTTTTCTTAGAAATGTCTCTAAAATTAAAATTGAAGTTTAAAGAAATCCTGTCAATTGTTACTTTATGATCAGAATTTTAGAATTACACTTTTATTTTCATAACAGCTCTGATGCCCTTCTGTCATGGATATTGTAACTTAAGTTAAAAGAGTCCCAGGGCCTGTGTTTTACACTTTTTAAAAAATATTGGATTAAGGGTTGTTGGCTTTTGTAGGAAAGAATACTTCTCTATTTCTGACAGGAACATTTATCACTTATCCTGAATGTCTTGTGGAGTAAATTTATTATAAAGATCATGTGCAGGATGACATTTATAGAGAGGTGATGATGTTCTAGACAAAGATCCAAGTTTATTTCTCAAAGGTTGACATGAGGGATGACCAATAAACAACATTCTTATCAATGGAGAAAAGATTGAAGTTGTCAAGGACTTCATTCTTCTTGGATCAACTATCAACATTCGCGGAAGCAGCAGTCAAGAGATCAGACGACGTATTGCATTAGGCAAATCTGCTGCACAGGAACTTTTTAAAGTGTTGAAGAGCAAAGATGTCACCTTGAGGACTAAGGTGCACCTGACCCAAGCCATGGTATTTTCAATAATCTCTTATGGATGCAAAAGCTGGACAGTGAATAAGGAAGATTGTAGAAGAATTGATGCCTTTGAATTGTGGTGTTGGAGGAGAATACTAAAAGTGCCATGCACTTCCAAAAGAACCAATAGATCTGTTTTGGAAGAAGTGCAGCCAGAGTGCTCCTTGGAGGCCAAGATGGCTAAACTTCGTCTCTCATACTTGGACATGTTGTCAGGAGGGAGCAGTCACTGGAGAAGGATGTCTTGCTGGGTAAGATGGAAGGTTAGAGAAAAAGAGGAAGACGCCTAATGAGATGGATCAGCCAGGTGGCATCATTGATGGCGTCAAGTGTGGCAGTGGTAGTGAGGTTGGCCCAGGATCGGACATTGTTTCGTTCTGCTGTGCATGGGGTCGCTATGAGTCGGTTCTGACTCGATGGCACCTGACAACAACAACAATAATAAAATGATTGTAGTATTGTTATGGTTGGACATTGTTGTGTCTCCTTTTTTTTTCTCCTATGATAAAGAACAAGTAAATGTGTTATGTTGCCAGATTCCCCTATGGATTATAAAACTTTTAGGTGATTAGGGACAAGCATGGGAAGTTGAGAGAATGATGCTGGGCAGGTTGAGTGGTGGCCAGATATGTGAGAAGAGTATCACGATGCTCCCATCAGTTGAGGGGTTTATTACTTAATGAGAACCAGGAGAAGAAGTGGGAATTCTGTTGATACTACATTATGTGCTGTGATCTCAATTGTGTGAGATCATGAATCATTTGTGTAAGATGGTTGAGCAATTTGTGTCCATTAACACTTCTTAACCTTCTCACACAAACGCTTTAAAAAGAGACACAACTTTGCTGCATATGGCTAAGAGAACTATCTGGCTTTGGCCTTTCATTCAAGTTGTTCTGGAAAAGCTGAGACTCCTGAAGAGCATATGGCCCCTGTTTATTTCCCCCATCTGCCTTCTCAATTCATCCACTGATTGGATATTATTAGATAATAATGGTGGTTGTGTATCCTCTAGTCGCTTCTGACTCACAGCAACTCTGTATAGGGTTTCCAAGGCTGTAAATCTTTATGGGAACAGAAAACAGAGTGACTGCTAGATTTAAACTGCTGACCTTGTGGTTAGCAGCCCAGATCATACTCCACTATTAATTTAAAAATGTAGACGTCCTTGGAACTTTTTCTTCATGACTAATAATAAGAGCAGATAGTCTACATTCATGCTTATTCATAAACAATTCTCTCTGCTACTTCTTACTTATACAAGAATGAATCAAGACGTTACTACAAAATCATAGAAACCTTTATTAAACAAAAATTTCAAAACATGGTGCTGTTGTTTCTTGACATTGCCTCCATCTGCTCTACACACTTCTGAAGACAGTGTCTCCGTGTCTCTAACCCTTCCTCCAAATAATTCTGTGCTATTTTATGTACACCACATTATAATGGTAGTTTTTTAAAAATGTTTTCTTGTGAATTATATGATCATTTACATGGGAGAACATGAGTTTTACATTCATTCTATCATATTTTGTTTCATTGCCATGGTTACAATCCCCTCCATGCATCAACCAACCAAAGGGTATACCCTGCAAGCCTGCCCCCCCCACACACACCCCTCAGTCTTCAGCACACAGTCGCTCTCCCTCTCTGGATCTAAAGTCCCCAGCTGCTCCATCATTCCACGTCATCTTCTCTGCCTCCATCTCAGGCATCACTGCTTCTCTGGGTAGAGTCCCGCTCTTGGCTCTTCTCCATTGATGGTCCTAGGGACCTCCGCTCCTAGACTGGAAAGTTAATCACTCCCTTCCTTGCTATAAAACATCTTCCTTTACATTTCCAACCCTCACAATCAGTCCTGATAACAATTATTCACTATTGTATCACAAGAGACCCATCTGCTATAATGGCAGTTTTGGCCTCCTGAAGGAACTCAGATCATATTCCTTTATAAAGCACTTTGAGTTTTCAGAACAAAAAGAATTCTAAATGAGAAACATCAAGGCTATAGTGGATGTGGTAACATTTCCCAATGGAATTGTCATAGGACAACCTTGCTACCCTCAAAATATGAATGAGTAGGTGCATTGTTTTAATGGAAAAAAATAATACCATGGCACAGCTTTTCTGGCCTTTTTCTCACCAATTTAGTTTCATTTTCTTAAAACTAAAACAGTTGCCATCATCTTCTGTGCTGTCCTCACTGCCTTGAATTTAATTGGCCCAACAGATCTCTTCAGAAGCCATTATTTTGATTGGACCTTTTTTTGGAAGGTGGTGTACTGGGTTACACATTGGCCTGCTAACCGTAAGGTCAGCTGTCCAAATCCACTAGCTGCTTTGTGGGAGAAAGAGGAGGCTTTCTGATCTGTAAAGATTTACAATATTGGAAACCATATGTAGGGTCACTATGAGTTGGAATCAACTTGATACCAATGGGCTTGGGGTGGGTAATGAGGCTAAGACTGAGAGAATTTATCCATAGCCATCCGCTAACTACAGAGACACGATTAAACACATTTTGTTTGAAATAAACCCGTGCATGTATGAACTGGAACCCTATTAGCAATAATTTTTTGTTTACCTAGTTATCATATATATTAGGTATATGATTGATTCATTTTCAACTGCAGAACTATGTACAATCATAAACAAAATCCATTCTAAGAAAATAAACATGTAAAGAAAATGTTTTGATAAGTAGGTGAGTTGTTAGTACAGTACAGTGGATGTGTAATCAGGAAAAACATATTTTTATACTTTCCCACCCAGATTTTAGCTGTACAATATTTGTGGGAAAGGGGAAATTCTTTAAATTCATATCAGTGCAATGTTTAAATAGAAGTATTTTACTTTTATAAGTTTGTATTTTATACTTCAGGATATTCATTTTTGTAACTGTGATTTAATGTTTTCTTTGCTTTAGAACACTATAAAATGTAGCAGTCCATGTTATGAATGGAAAGGAATCAGTGTGCTTGTTAAAAACCACTTCACAACTTCAGGAGTCTTCAAGTAAGTGACTGGGTATAAATTCATTGCCATTAACCACTTCCAGTCTTAAAGAAAAATAAGTAATTGTTTGAGGAGAAATGGCAAGTATTTACAGTCTTAAAAGCTTGTAAGCATAATCAGATAAAAATGAACAAATAATGAAGGTAAAACAAAGTTTCTTTAAATGATGTTTGAGCTACATAATGCAGACTGATTCAAACAAGTTTATAAATTTTGTCTATGAACTTTTTTGTGGTGACATTTAATCTCATGTACTTTGGATATGGTATCAGGAGTGATGACCAGTCCTTATAGAAGGACCTCATTCTTGGTAAAGTAGAGTACTTGGTAACATAAGGTCAGTGATGAAGAGAAAGACCCTCAAGGAGGTGGATTGACATATTGGAAGGAACAATGGGCTCAAACCGAGCAATGCTTGTGAAGAAGGTACAGGACTGGTCTGCGTTTCCTTATATTGTACATCTGATCACTGTGGGTTGGAACCAATTCGGCGGCACCAGCAACAGCATTTTTATATGTTTTATAATTTTGTTTTCCTCTTGCTCCAGTAATGCCTACTTTGTGCTCAATGGATATTTTCTAGTATAACATGCTAATTACTTTTTTGCTTATTTTACCATATTTTTAAAAATAGTTCTCTGACAATCGGTTTCTTTCAACTTATTGAATATGTTACCCCATTATCTTCTGTCCCCCAGGGTTTCAAATGAGAAGTCAGTTGCTAGTCTTATTGAGGAGCCATTGTATGTATCTTACTGGTTTCAACATTGTTTTGTCTTTGTTTTTTGACAGTCTGAGGATGATGTGTCTAATGGTGTAGAACCATTTAAGTTTATCCTATATAGATTTCTTTCAGCTGTTGGATAGTTAACGTTTTTCATCAAATTTGAGAAGTTTTCATTTTTTACTTCTTCAAATATTTTTTCTTCCTCTTTCTCTCTCTCTTTTCTTTTTGGGAACTTCCATTATGCATATGTAGTCCTGGTGTGGCACTGTGGGTTAATGTGCTGGACTGCAATGTCAGTTTAAACCACAAGGTAGGCAGTTCAATCTCACCAATCACTCCTCGGAAACCAAAGATGTCAGCTTAAGGACTGAGGTGTGCTTGACCCAAGCCATGGTATTTTCAATAACCTCATGCATGAAAAAATTGGACAGTGAATAAGGAAAATCGTAGAAGAACTGATGCATTTGAGTTATAGTGTTGGAGGAGAATATCGAAAGTATGGTGGGCTTCCAAAAGAACAAACACATCTGTGTTGGAAAAAGTACAGCTAGGGTGCACCTTAGAGGCCAGGATGGCCAGACTTCATCTCTCATTCTTCGGACATATTATCAGGAGGGACCTGATATCATATTTGGTAGGGTGGAGGGTCAGAGAAAAAGAGGAAGACCTGCAGCGAGATGATGGGCTCAAATGTAGCAACAAGTTGGCCCAGGACTGGGAAATGTTTCATTCTATTGTGCATATGGTCACTATGAATCGATACCAACTCCCTGGTACCTAACAACAACAACAACAATGGGTCGGAACCGATTTGACAGCACTTAACAACAACAACAAAACATTATGCACATGTTGCTATGTTTGATGGTATCCCACAGGCCTCAGAGGCTCTGCTAGCTTTTCTTTATTTCTTTCTTTCTGTTACTTAGAATGGATAACTTGATTTGACCTATTTCCAAGTGCACTGATTCTTTCTATTGAGGCCATCTAGTGATTTATCTGCTTTATTTATCCAATCCAGAAATTATAATTGGTCCTTTGGCTTAATTTCTATCTCTTTATTGATATTTTTTGTTTGTTAAAACATCATTCTCATATGTCCCTTTATTTTGTTTCTTTGAAAATTATTTCCATCAGTTATTTCAAGTCACTAATAGTAGTTGATTGGGGTCCTGGTGTAGCTCTGTGGGCTAATGTGCTAGACTATAAAGTTGTTTGAACCACAAGGTCGGTGGTTCAAGCTCACCAGCCACTCCATGAAAACCCTATACAAGGTTGCTGCTATGGGTCGAAAATGACTCGACAGCACTTAACAACAACAACAACAACATAGTAGTTGGTTAAAAGTCTTTGTCTGGTAACACAAACATCTGGAATCCCTCAGGAACAGTTCCTATTTTTTTCTGTGTATGGAGCATATATCCTTTCCTTTATATGCTTTATATATAGTTGTTTCTGTTGTTGAAACTGAACTTCAAAAATACTATGTATTGTAGATAATATAATATCTCTGTGAATCAGTACTCAATAGATTTTGTTGGTTTTGCTGTTTGATGTTATTGTTACTGTCTTTGCTGTTGTCTGTTAATGTTTCAGAACTAATTTGGTAATGTCTACATTGCATATCCACCACTACTCTGTCACTTTGTCGTACTGTAGTGGCTTGTGAGTTTCTGTGATTCTGAAAGCTATGTCAGTGGTATTTTAAATACCAGCAGGGTCACTCATGGTGGACAGGTTTCAGATGAGCTTCCAGACAAAGACAGACTAGGAAGAAGGAGTGATGAACTACTTCTGAATATATAGTCACTGATAACCTTATGAACAGCAGAGAAACACTGTCAGATATAGTGCCAGAATATGAGCCCCTCAGGTTGGAAGGCACTCAAAATGTGACTGGGGAAGAGCTGCCTCTTCAGAGTATAGTTGACTGTGATGACGCAAATGGAGTAAGGCCTGTGGGAGAAAAGTCCTCGAGACCTTCATTTGCTGATAGGGCACAACTCAAAATGAAGAGAAACAGACATCTGGTTTCTGCAGCAGTGGAGAAAGTCAGGTAGGGAAATTTCCTTGCTAGAGAGGGATTGAGATCTCATGTAAGAAACACTCACAGAACAACTCCAGAGTTCTGGATCTACCATAAGGTCCAGGATGTCAGTTTCCTGCACTCGCAAGTGAAAAAATCATGATATTAAGGAAAACACTGTGAGTTAGGAATCGGGACACAGGACTCCCTCTGTGGCTACCTAACCCTGGCAGAGTTTAGAGGGTGGGGCTACAGCCATTCTGGCTCAATGAACTTGCTCTAAAAGTGGTGCAGAGACACTTGCATAAAGAGGCACAGGAGACTGTACACATTTCTCACACATCTTTCTCGGAGCCCCTTTTCTCTCAGCAGGATGCCATCAGGCAGGTGGATGTGCACCCCCAAAAAACAGCCATGGCCCTGCAGTTCCCCCACAGTACAGAGAGAGGGAACTTGGTGGCCACTAATGACCTCAGCTGTGGAGACACAGCCCTAAGATTGATTTGAGCTAGACCACATGGGAAATGTCACAACGAAACCAAAGGAAATAAAAAAAGATAATAACAGAATACTATGAAGAGTTGTACTCCAACAAATTTGAAACCTCAGAAGACATGGATATGTTTTTAGAAAAACACGACCTAACAAAACTCACACAGAATGAACTAGAAGACGTGAGCAGACCCAGAACAAGAGAAGAAATTGATCAGGTTATCAAAAAGCTCCCAATCAAAAAAAGTCCAGGTCCAGATGGTTTCACTGGTGAGTTCTACCAGACATTCAGGGAAGAGTTGTCACCAATTCTACTCAAATTATTCCAGAATATAGAGGAGGATGGAAGACTACCTAATATTTTTTATGAAGCAAGCATAACCCTCATACCAAAACCAGGGAAGGACATCACTAAGAAAGAAAACTATAGACCAATATCTCTCCTGAACACAGACGCAAAAATTCTCAACAAAATCCTAGCCAACAGAATCCAACAGCACATCAAAAAAATAATACATCGTGACCAAGTGTGTTTCATAAAAGGGATGCAAGGATGGTTCAACATTAGAAAAACAATCAAATGAAATCCACCATGTAAATAAGAAAAAGGAAAATAACCACATGATCGTATCAATTGATGCAGAAAAGGCATTTGACAAAATCCAACATCCATTCCTGATAAAAACACTCAACAAAGTAGGAATTGAAGGGAAATTCCTTAACATAATAAAGAACATATATACAAAACCAACAGCATACATCACTCTCAATGAAGAGAAACTGAAAGCCTTAACTCTGGGAACAGGAACCAGACAGGATGCCCCTTGTCACCACTTCTTTTCATTATTGTGCTGGAAGTTTTAACCAGAGCTATAAGGCATGATAGAGAAATAATTAAAGGCATCCAAATTGGCAAAGAGGAAGTAAAACTCTCTTTATTTGCAGACGATATTATTCTATACATAGGAAACCTCAAAGACTCAGTAAAAAAACTACTAGACCTCATTGGAAGATTCAGCAAAGTGGCAGGGAAAAGCAGCAATGAAGCTGTGAGCTAAGCCCTACAATGTTCAATAGACTCCTGTGAAACAGGCTGGAGACCTGGCTGTGTGGCAAGACCTGGGGACTCTTGGGCCCAGAGTCAGTGACATAGCAATAGATGACTAGAATGGAGAGTGAAGCGTCCAGCTGATCAACATACAAAAATTAGTTGGATTTCGCTATAGCAACAACGATAGTGCTGAAAAGAACATTAGGAAAGCAATACCATTTACAATAGCCGCCCAAAGGATGAAATATTTAGGAATAACCATAACTAGAGAAACAAAGGACTTATACAAAGAAAATTACAAAACACTACTATAAGAAACCTACAAAAATGGAAGAACATTCCATGTTTCTGGATAGGAAGACTTAACATCGTGAAAATGTCAGTACTGCTCAAAGCAATTTACACATATAATGCAATCCCAATCCAGATTCCAACTACATTCTTTTTTTTTTTTTTAATTTAAGGTTTTTATTGTGAATTGAGTGAAAGTTTACAGGGCACATCATCAGTTTCACAATCAATAATTCATATAATTTGTTTCATTACATTAATTATAATCCCCTCCATATACCACTTTAGCTTTTTTGTAAAAAACACACAAACAAAAAAAACCACTCAGGCATATATAATAAATTACATCTCCATAGGGCACATTCTGCAAGTCTGCTCCTGGCC